TTTAGGGTTATTAGGGTGTAGGGTTTAGGGATTTTAGGGTTTAGGGCGTAGAGTGTAGGGTACGGGCCATGAAGTCTTGGGTGAGGAATTGGGGGTCTACCGGGGGTGAAAGGCCTCGGATTTAGTGTGGCTCTGCAGGGTATTGAGACTCTTTGCGGAGCTTGAAGTCTGTCTGGGGAGTTGCTCATACTGCTGGATTGCAAGTTCGGTACCCCGGCTTCTTGCACAGACGCAACGCCTGAATTCGAGCTATTCAAGCTGACGATTCGCAGCAAAGACAACATGTTTCTCCGGAACACCATCCCACGAGCAACTCTTCCTTCGACTTACCGAGGAAAACCGCAATAGTCTGAGCACAGGGCTGCGGAGAAGGGGTGCTCACAAAACTCCTGCCAGTCCAACAATGTCTTCAGGATGAGTAGCTCTGTCTGTGTCATTCGGGGACGATAAATATAGGGGCCCCTATAAGTTCAATTTGTCTTAGAAATTGGTCTATATTATAGTATGGCCAGCAAAAGGAACCCTACGGCCCTACAGTACCGAACAGTATCAGTACCCATAGGCCCCATAGTAGTTCCTTTTTGGGGTTACCTTATAGGATTCTATATATGAACCCCCAAAAAGGAACTACTTTAGGGCCTATCAGTAGTTATTTAAGCCTCGAGAGTGCCGATCCTGGAGCAGACTGGCGCGCAAGACGCCACCATGACGGCCCCGAAGCAGCCTTGAATGCTCAGTAGCACGGAAGGGTTCAGGGTGTAGGGCTTTGGGGCTTAACGGAACCCTAAACCCTAAACCCTAAACCCTAAGGGTTTAGGGTTTCGGGCTTTGGGGCTTAGCGAAGCATGGGAGCTTGGACTTCGAAGACCAGAAATGCCCGGTTTCCGAAAAAAGGGGACCCTCATCTAGTACCCTAAAAAGTAAGATCCTTATAATAAAGACCCCCATAATAAGGTACACCTAAATAGTAGGATCCTTATCATAAAGACCCCATATAGTACCCTAAATAGTAGGACCCTTATTATAAAGACCCCCAAAGTAATAAGGTGCCCCTAATTTTCGGAAACTTCCACAAGAAGCCTCGGTCCGAAGGTGCTTCTCACTGCACTCAGGGCCCTCACTCCGACAGCCTCATTTTGAGTCAAGGCTTTGGGTTTAGGGTTTAGGGTTTGGGGTTTTTAGGGTTTAGGGTGTAGGGTTTTGAAGGTTTTTAGGGTTTTTTGGGTTTAGGGTTTAGGGTTTAGCGTTTAGGGTTTCGGGTTTAGGGAGTGCAGGCGCCTGCTGCAGACCGCCCGAGCACTGCTCCATCTGGACCTCGACTGTGGGATGTGGGGTTGCGCGCATGGCCAGACAGACAGTCGCGACAGCACATTGTCGTCAGCGTTGTCATCTCATTACCGGGATTACCGACATATTGCCATCAGCATCGCCAACGTGATCCCAATCCGACATAGTCATCATCATCATCGTCATCATCATCATCATCATCATCATCATCATCGTCACCACCGTCATCGTCATTGCCATCACCACCACAATCATTAACGGTTCTTCTTCATCAACTTCATCATCATCGCTTTCAGTACAATCACTACCACCAGCATCACCATCACCCTCATCATTCTTATATAAAAAACTACACGTCCTCGTAACCATGGCCACCATCGCAGACATGAGGATAGTCATGTTCGTCATGAGCAACCGTTCGAGCACATTTCCAATTCGAGGTATGGCCGATGCTGGGCGCCTGGCGTGCACCCTCCTGACGGCTGGGTATCCTAATGCCCACCATCTTCTGCAAACGCTGGGCCCAGGGAGTGGATAGACACCAAGGTTTCCGAAAATGCAAGCAGACATCCGAAGCCAAAGCAGATTGAACCCACAGGCGTCGGCACTGCACTCTTCGATCAAAGCTTTTGGAGTCCCGCAAAATCCGAGGGAAGCCCCTGATCCAATTTGGATATTGCCAAAAAGGCTGAACGGTCCCTAAACCCTAAAGCCTGCAGACCCGAAAGCCTACCAGGGGACTTAGTAAGTCGCTTATGGGTAGGGTGATAAGTGGGGTAACTCCATTTAGGGTACTTATAGCTCTACTTACAACCTACTTCCAAAGTCCCCTGACCCTCCAAGTAAGCCCCATAAATCCCCTACTCCTACGGCCAACAGCATGGTCCACTTCGTGGTACGTACAGCCGAGCCGCGGAGGGTTGGAAAACTTAAAACTGTTCTTTCACGGAGGATGGACAAGGCCCGAAATCGACCGATGTCCTGGTCCTGCAACAAGAAGCCCTTGAAGTGATAGCTCAACCGTTCATGTCTGTTCTTGTACTGTGCACCTCGACAAAAGACGACCCTGCATGCATTCCATCTTCGTCCATTCAGGCAATGACGGAACAGCAGTCCGAAGCATGAAACTCGCAAAAAAAAACTAAACCCTAAACTCCTAAACCCTCTCCACCATCCAGGCAATTGCGTCATTTGTGCAAGCTTGCGTTGCGGAGACCTGCCAGCAGTTGAAACTTTAGTGCGTTGAAGACGCAACAAGGATTTGGGTTTACGGGTTTGGGTCATCATCCCCATGTCGCGCATGTTTTCATCATCGCCGACGACTGAACCCGGAACCCCCGGAACCCCTTAAGCCGGAATCCGAAACCAAAACCAATCGGAACCCAAGGGACTACATGACGCTTTAAAGGCGATGGTCTCTACATCTTATACTACAAAGCATATATAAATATATATATATATATATGAGATATGAACTCTTATACTACATAAGGTATATGAGATATGAACTCTTATACTACATAAGGTATATATGAGATATGAACCATGAGCACTGTTCAGAGATCAACTTCTCCCTTGAGAAAAGCTCTGCGCCTGCTCGGGAAGCCACGTGAGACCCGTGAACTCAGCTCCCCCCGGGGTGCAGCAGATCAACTCGCAGTGGTACACCTGGGAGTTTCCGGGTTTAGGGTTTAGGGTTTAGGGTTTAGGGTTTAGGGTTGAAAATTAGGGGTGTTTGTTTGGGGTCCTTATAATAAGGATCCTACTATTTAGGGTGCTATATTAGGGTCCCCTGTTGTCGGAAACCCCCACCTCGTCTCGGAAACCTTACCGGGCTCATGGGTTTAAGAATGGGGGCTTCCGAAAATAAGGGACCCGAACCATAGTATCCCAAATAGTAGGATCCTTGTTATAAGGACCCCAAGATGAGGTATAAGGACCCCAAGATGAGGTATAAGGACCCCAAGATGAGGTACCCCTTATTTTCGGAAACTCTCAAATATGGGCCAGAAGAACAATTGGTGACTATCACATAGGGACTATATTGATCATTCCGACCCCACAGTAATCCCGTCGACACGTGAAGAGAGCGTGGCAAAGAGCTTTGAGCTCAGAGGCATGTTCAAGGCAGTCCTGCACCGAAACCACAGCCCAGGCACCCCATCGTAGAGTTTCAGCGTCTTGTCGGTGGCCTTGGCCTCGTCGTACAGCCGCTGCCTGGCAACTTCTAAACGTCAGAAGCTTTTGTCCAGTTTTTATGTGCGAAACATCCTTCAGTCCTCACATACGCCCTGCAGCACCGCAGTCTGGTCAAAATCTGTAACATGACCACACATAACTCACCGCAAGCTTTGGTTGCTCGATGCAACACCGCCACGACGTCGCGGGATCCGTGATCTTGTCCGACTTGCCATGCAAGACGATGAAAGGCGTCCTCACCTCATCGCAGCCAGACTTCGGACCACATGTCGCGTCGCATTGCGCGACGTGCATGATCGCATGTTTATCTACGTGCCAGTTTGTTGTGCATTCAATGTATACATCGCAGCCGAGTAGTATCATGTGACTCTCGCGCACAATGGACTTTCGTGCTACCACTGGCGCACCTCCTTCAGATGGTCATCCAGCCAGTCGGTGAAGGTGAAGCCCATCTCCCGACCCGAAGCCAAGAAAGGCGAGGTTCCCTTCATGGAGAAGGGGTTGACCTTCTCGTACCTTGGTTCGAACGTCCAACCCCAAGCTCTATAACGTCGCGCCCGCCCGATCGGCTATTGAAATCCACCACCAGGTCATTTGTACCATGATCAGATGCAAGTTCAGCCATGCCATCACAGGACCCCTATTCACTGGAAAAGGCATATTAGTATTCTGTAAGCTGTATTTCTACCTATAGTTCGTTCTGGTTTGGCATTGTAGTTGCTAATGAGGTCAAAAATTGGTCTCAGCTGGGCTACTACTGTTGTCATGATATTTGCTGTTGCTGCATAAGCTTATAGATTTCGTGCTTGGTTCTGTTCGTAGAATGTATGTACTCTTCTGCATACCGGTGCACATATGCATGTACACACACATATAAACTAGCATATACAAAAACATATATAGAGGTGAACAGATGCCCACTGAGCCAACTGTTCACTCGAATGGAGGCGACAGAAGGTAAACAGTACTGCTCAGTAATGTCTGACCTGAGAAGTTGCATTGCCGCAGAATCTGGGGCCTAGTCTCAACTGGAAATACTGGACATACTGTAACCCTAACCTCCAGGTACCTACTATATAGGGCCCTAGGGGTATAGTAGGTACCTGGAGGGGTTGGGGTAACTCTGTTCTTTTCTACCAGACCTCAGAAGCTCAAAGGGAGCCTAATTTAGAGAACTGAATGATGCTAAACCCTAAACCCTAAACCCTAAAACAAACCTTAAAGACAAGAAGCACTGGCCCCTGTGTCGGTATCCGGAAATCGACACCAGCGAGGCCTCCCGGCAAGCAGAAACTCTTCGGACTCTGAGAACATGATGCAGACGAAGGTGATTGGCGGTTTAGGGTTTAGGGTTTTAGGGTTTAGGGCTTAGGGTTTAGGGTTTAGGGTTTTAGGGCTTTAGGGTTTTAGGGTTTAGGGTTTAGGGTTTCTGGTTTGGGGGCTTTCACTGTTTCGGGCGTGGGTCCAGGGTTTGGGGCTCCGGGCTTATGGGCTTCAGACATCCAAGGCCCCTAAACCCTAAACCCTAAACCCTAAACCCGCCAGTATGCGAAACCGAGGTCCCTGCTCTTGACCGGCGTGATCGGCCAGGTTGGTAGCCTCGGAAGACTCAGCCAGCGAACCCTGTGAATCTCACTCGCAGCAGTAGTCAACAGCACTCATGGGAGCAACGGCATCATGGTGAGGATTGTTCTGTTACTATAGTAGATTCATATGAGCCTCTCATATATTAGGTTAGAATATATTACGTTCCACTAAAGTGGATTATATTCTGTTACATTATGGTAGAATAATATACTAGGTTAGATTGCATTATGTTACACTAAATGGTATTCTCCTCTACCCTTAACCCTAAAACCACCAACCTGCAGGCAAGCGACAACCTCGCAACGAGGTGCTTGAAAACCATCTGCACGATCCAAGGAGGCTTCACTTCCTCGCTGACTGTCAGCATGGGGCCCTTCAAGACCACCTCAGATGACCACCAGAGGCGCCTTAATGATTTTGATAAGATTACCTGATATATGGTATCTCACACAGGTTCCTTTGAGGGGTTCTCATAGTGGTTTGGCCGCAAAGGGGCGCTCAAGCAAGATCTTGCCAGATTTACATGCACGTGCCTGTTCAGCTCAGGTGCGCCACGAAAATAGGTCGGTCGCTGCAAGGCCATGCAAATCGCCAGGCCGCCCCCTAAAGAATTTCCTCTCAGGATCACTGCAATGGGTCTCACTTGCAGGAACCCTAAACCCTGAACCCGAAAATCGTGAACCCTGAAGACTGTCCTGCGACGAAGAGTGGAAGTGACTTGCACTCCTGCGACCTGGTCAGGGCGAGTCTGACTGTGGATTCACTGCAACAGCACCCTTTTCAAGCCTGTAGCCCAGAAGCTTAAACCCTAAACCAGTCTAAATCCTTGACCAAGGCATCTCAGTGGCACAAGGATCTCCGTGTGCTCCCAGATCTTGTCCATAAAGGCCCACCAGTCGGGAATGTAGGCCAAAAGACCATCCTGAAAGGAGGTCCGACTCTTGGGAGGTCCTCTTCCAGACTCTAGAAGTCCTCATAATGAGGATAGGGTTTAGGGCTTAGGGTTTAGGGTTTGGGGTTTAGGGTTTAGGGTTAAGGGTTAAGATGAGTTTGATACAGCAAGAAGCTGCCAACACAGATCCCAAACAGCAGCTCCGCATGCGCAACAGCTTCGAGACATCCAGACCCAGACTTGGAGATACTCCGTTTTTTGGGGGGCCAAACGAGCCTAACCCTAGCCCCCCAGGTACCTACTATATAAGGTACTAGAGCCTCTACACCCCTACATAGTAGGCACCTGGGGGGTCAGGGCAAGAGTTAGTCGCATGCACCTCCCCCGGTTTCTCGTCCAAGCTGCGGAACGCCCGTGTGAGGGGAGATCTGGCATCCTTTGCTGGGCAACTCTCGCTGTGTACGTAAATGTGGAAGGTACGGCTGTGCGCCGCACATTCGTAGGTATGTCTGAGAAAACGAGGCAGAGTAGGAGAAAGAAAGAATGAGAGCAAGATAGAAAGAGAGAGAGAGAGAGAGCGACAGCGAGCGAGCGGGAGACTGAGACCGACACGGAGAGACTGAGAGGCTGAGAGAGAGTGGCAGGGAGGGAGCGTGGGTGGGAGGGGAAGGGGGTTCGGGATTTTGGGTGCCATGTTCAAAGTCTAGAAATCTGAGAGAACCCTGTGTTAGCCGCATACTAACCTTATAGTAGCCTGAATGAATGGTAGGTAATCCAACTAGTATCCCGAATCGCAACCTGAATAACAGCTTCGCAAGCAACCCTATCAGTAAATATACCAGCAACCTTACAAGACTGTCTGGTGCTTAGTAAGGAATGGGGGAACGGATCCCTATGATAGTCCCTTAAGGTCCCTTGTTGTAGTCGCAATAACCCATTCCCCCATTCCCTACTAAGCACCAGACAGAAGAGTTTCGGTCTATACCAGTAACCTTACCCTAAACCCCCAAAGTAGGTAAAATAATGGCCCAAAGCCTATAAAGGGCTATTATTTTTACATACTCTCGGGGTCCAGGACAAGAGTTTCGGTCCGGAGTCAGGTGTACGACCCGATGCCAAGCGGCAAGACCATTGCTCCAGCCCGTGCAAACTCCGCCAAGTTCTGGCAGCAAACAAAAAATCTAGACTCTGCAAACTTCTAAACCCTATAGACCCTACCTGGACCCCAAAAAGTATGTAGAATAATAGCCCTGTATAGTTTTCGGGCCATTATTTTACCTACTTTGGGGGGTTTAGGGTTTAAGTAAAACCTGAAACCTGCTGTGTCTTGCTGCAGGGTGTGTGCATACCCCGCTCCTCGACATAGAGGTCGGAGTTGGAACTATAGCCATGCAAAAAGACCTGGGAACCAAGCCGAATCGGAGGGTCGGCTCTAGCTAACCCCCGCAAAGGTAGGTTAAAAGAATCGCCCAGAACCTTCAAAAGGGCTATTATGTTACATATTCTTGCCCAAAACCTTTGCAAAATAATAGCCCTCTGTAGGCTTTGGGCCATTCTTTTGTACTACTTTTTGGGGCCCAGGGTAGGGGCGAAGAGACTTGGGATCTGGGCCCGGCGCGACGGCGTGCGTCGGTGTCTTGTTCTTCGGCGTCAGGACGTAGCTGAAGAGCTGGGTTCCATCTTTGAGGCCTCAAAGAGGCGCAACGGGGGTTCAGAGGTTTACGGTTTAGGGGTTTCGGGTTTATAGGGTTTAGGGTTTAGGGTTTAGGGTTTAGGGGTTTAGGGTTTAGAGGTTTAGGGTTTAGGGTTTATGGGGGCTACAAGTATAACAAGACTCATCATGACACCGACTGGGAGAAGCTCAGAACTTTGCCGCTGCCACCGCTTGTCTGTCTGTTGCTTAGTAAGGATCGGGGGAACGGACCCGTATGATAGTCCCTTAAGGTCTCTTATATTAGTCCCAACAACCCATTCCCCCATTCCCTACTAACCACCAGACCTTACCCTAAACCCCCAAAGTAGGTAAAATAATGGCCCAAAACCTGTAAAGGGCTATTTTTTTGCATACTTTGGGGGTCCAGGACAAGAGTTTCGGACAGTTTTGCCAGGCCACGATGCATGTTGGATCGAAGCTCCACATCCGCAGAAGCGGCCACAGCTTTTGCTCCAGGGCTGATGCACTCACCGGGCCTCCATCACTTAGAGGCCCAGCGGACTTAGTAAGTAGGTTATAAATATGGTTATAATTGCGGTAACTCCATTTGGGATGCTTATAACTCTACTTATAACCTACTTACTAAGTGCGCTGGGCCTCCAAGCAGAGCCACTAAAATAAAAAACACATAAGGCTCCAATGCAAGAAGACCTACTACAACACAGGGTTTAGGCTTTTGGGGCTTCGGGATCAGACCCATCACAAAACACAACCCGAAAAACCCAGAATTTCTGAGAGAAGCGCAGCTTGCAGCCACAGTGGCGGTATGAGAGCTCGCCTCTGCTCGCCCGTAAGGATGTGCGCGATGCCTCAACGAAAGCATGAAGCAATCAGCACCACCCTCTTCATCGATGGCGGGACGAGGATTCGGATCCTAAACCCTAAACCCTAAACTGATGGCGGGGGGAGATCGACAACTGTCGCAGCAAGATTGTCTGGCCAACTATAGGTACCCTCAGCGCAACCACCGGGAATGAGAAGTTCTCCCAGCCAAGAGACGTCGTCGAAGCCATTTGTGAAGGAAATAGCCGCCAGTCAAGCAGCCAACAGCTGTAACAGCTAGCATGGCTTCAAGAAACTTGCCCTGAAAGCGATCCAACAACAGCTGCGGATCAGATGGAGACTGGAGATCGTTGTTGCACCATCAGTGACACAAGCTTATACCGAAAATTGCCCGAAGATAAGGCGTGAACAATGGTAGCACTACCACACAGCCAGAATGCAAGAAACATAATTACCAGGTGCAGAATCACGATCAGTTAAATCCGTTTTTGATGACGACGGCGATGTGGGTGGTGACGATGGTAATCATGATGACGACGATGATGCTGATGGTGTTCGTGATGGTGGCGATGGTGGTGTTGGCCGTGATGGTGGCGATCGTGGCGATGGTGGTGGGTGATGGTGATGATGCTGCTGATGGTGCCGACGGCGGTGCCTATAGACGATGGCAATGCGGGTAATCGTGCAAGACATATCAACACCGAGATTTACCATGTCAACGCTTCTGTCTATATGCCCTACCCGTAGAAACCTTCCTGCTTCTGCAAAACATTTAGAGTACTATCAAGACGACAACGACGATGCTTCAGCAAGAGAGAGTTTTCCCAAGCACGAATTAGCAATGCCACAAAACCGGCCAGTTGGTTGGTGTAGAACCAAACCTTGTACTGTGGCTCTCATCAGCAACTGGCAAACATCACCAACCAACCAAAATGACCTGGATGCACTGCTTCAGCAATGCTCAGCAGGAACCAGGCGGAGGCTGCTTCTGCTCTGCTAAGCCAAGCTGCCGAAAAGGATGGAATTAGCTAAGGACGCAAGGCGTGCATGAATTACTGGAAGCCGATGGGCGAGGAAGGACCTCATGAATACCCTTAAGCCTTATATTTTTTGCCTTAGGCTCATGAATGCAAGTCTTGTTCATCTCCTTCACTGAGACGTCCCGAGACGGCTGTGTAGTCGTTCCCGGCACACGCGCGTGCGTGACAGGACACGTGGCCCACCATCGTTGAGCCCAAGTCCCACTCGGAAAAGGCCCTCTTCGAGAAAGTCAGCAGAACGGCCCCAAAGAACAGGCGCAGCTGAACCGTAATCCCTAAGCCTTCTGAGCGCGTTCTGCCAAGTGACAAGGTCTGGGGTAGATCCCATCCTTCAACCTACGGATCGCATGCATTAATTGAAAGGGCTGCACAGCCCTCACTAGCCTTCTTGAACGGCTCGGTTGCCAGACTTACCTGGAGCGTAGCACGGCTGCTTGAGCGATTGAGTTGCGTGACTGCAGTTTGTTCCTTTACTTGGCTGTGTGCTCTCTGTGTAACTACCAGACACAGACGGACAGACGGACTGACTGACGGATGGACGGACTTCTAGGCAATCTGTGCGTTGTACTTTCTTCTCCATGTCTGTCTCTGTGTTTGCTTGCATGTGCGTTTTCGCGTGCACGATCACATCCATCCCGTCGCATATGTGTCATCATGCACGTACCCATAGGCCCAAAAGTAGTTCCTCTTCGGGATTCCCTAATAGGATTCTAAATATGAACGCTAAAAAGGAACTGCTTTAGGGCCTATGGGTATGCCCGCTTATACACTCGAGGGTATCCCACGGGCTGATCATCGGGTCTGTACTTGGAAACCGAAAAGTGCGGCTACAAGTAAGTTACCCATAGGCCCTAAAGTAGTTCCTTTTTAGGGTTCATATTTAGAACCCCATAAGGTAATCCCAAAAAAGGAACTACTATGGGGCCTTTGGGTAAAGTCTCACCGTGTGTGATAAAGCGATTTCTTTGACTTGCTCACGGTTTCTGCATGGTCTTGCTCTTGTCTGTTGAACAGCAGAAATGCGTTGCTGCGTACCAACACGAAGGCCCCGGCACCGCCGCGATGCAGATAGACATAAAGCAAGGGCATGGATACAATAGATGCATAAGCACGAACCCAACCCCAACCCCCAAACCCGAAACCCTAAACTCAACGCTTGTAAACCTGGAAAGGACAGGTATCCTGGACCAATCCTTCGAGCTGGAAGCACCCTGCCATGCATCTAGACTCCCACGGACTGCGTTTAGGGCCTTGGCTTTAGGGTTTCGGGTTTAGGATGCTCCTTGGGCCCGCACTCGGAGGGGGTGAGAGGCTCTTCACGCGATAAACCTCAGCCCAGCGACAAAAAAAACCAGGCTCAAGACAGGGTTTAGTCTTCAGGATCTAGGATGTAGGATTTCGGATTTAAGATCGGTTTCAGGATCTAGGGTGTAGGACTCAGGGTTTTGGATTCGCAGGGGGCCCCTTGAGATGAGTTTAGACCCCTTTACCCCTAGAAGGAATAGGTTTGGGCCAGTATGAATTCGACTGTGAGATTGGGATCTAGAGCCCTCAACTAAACCCTGAAAGCCCCCAAAACACCAAAGACAAACCAAACACTAAAACCCCAACCCTAAACACAAGAAGCCCGACATGCACCTGAAAAAACCAAAAACGAAACCCCTAAAAAAACCCTGAAGCCCCAAAACCTGAAAACCCCCAAACCAAAAACCCTAGACCCTAAACCCTAAACCCTACACCCCAAAGTTGCATCCCAGTGACCACGGCGCGCGCACGCACGGCCCCGGAGAGCGTCGCTCGGATCGCCGGTCCGCTGAGACCTCGGCCGCTCGGAAGGCGGGGCTCGAAAGGGTTTAGGATTTAGGATTTAGGGTTTAGGGTTTAGGGTTCAGGGTTTAGGTTAGGGTTCAGGGTTTAGGGTTTAGGGTTTAGGGTTTAGGGGCTCCTTTTAAAGGGTTCCTTAAAAGAGATACTATAAGGTTTCTATATGGGTAGTTCTGTAAATTAAGGTTCCCTTTTTGGGTCCCCAATATAGTACGGTACCCTTATAAGATGGACCCGTAATTAGAATAGGGGTTGGGAGTTCCTTAAAAGGGATACTCTAAGGGTTCTATATAGGGGCCTTAATAATTAGAATAGGGTTTGGGGGTTTTTTTAAAGGGATACTATAAGATCTAGGGTCGCTGCCTCCAAATCCTGATCCCTTTAGGTTTTAGGGGGGCATTAGGGGATGTAAGGTCTAGGCTTTAGGGCAAACTCGATAGCTCGCGGACTGCCAGGCATGAAGAGAGCTGCATGCCGAAGTCTTGGCCACCGACCTGTGCGGAAGCTTGGGCAGGCGCTCCGCGTTGCATTCTGCTTGGGGTACGTCGGGTTCTGCGATCGAACACGACAGGGCGTTGGGAGGAGCGCCATATCGTGTCTGGGAGGGCCGCTTTCGTGGCTGGGGATCGGGTCGCGGCATGCTGGCTTGGGGGAAGGCAGCCATGCCCATGCAGGAACAACCACGCGCGGAGGGGCATAGGATCGCACTACGGGCGGGTTTGGCGGCATTCCTCCTGCTGAGCTGATGCCAGAGATCGCGGCCACGGGTGTCGCGACGATGGCTTGTGGGATGCCACTCGACCGAGGAGAGCGAGCACCAGACCGTGGACTTAGCAGTGTGGCCCTGAGATTGGCTGCGCTCGATGCCCGGGCCTGTCTGCAGTCCCTGCCGCGGGGTCGCACGTTCCAAAACGTTGAGGGATGAGACAAAACGCAGCCCAGCCTCCTGCCCTGCGGCACGGGGCGGCACCTGCAAACCAACAGCGTCAGGCAGAGGATGAGAATGGTGATTAGCAGTGAGTAGCGTCTTCTGTGGCCTCGATGGGGTGAGCGGCAGGGGCTGCGAAGCCAAGCCAGCTATCCTGCACAACAGGTCAGCACGGGAAAAACAGAAAAGAAAAGCCCACATGCTTATAGATAGATAGATAGATAGATAGATAGATAGATAGATAGACAGACAGATAGATAGACAGATAGATAGATAGATAGATAGGTAGATAGGAGGATAGGTAGATAGGTAGATAGGTAGATAGGTGGATCGATCAATCGAAAGATAGATCGAAAGATAGATCGATAGATAGATCGATAGATCGATAGATAGATCGATGGATAGATCTAGCGATAGATAGATCGATAGATCGATAGAAAGATCGATCGATAGATAGATCGATGGATAGATCGATCGATAGATAGAACGATCGATAGATAGATCGATCGATAGATGGATCGGTTGATAGATAGATAGATAGATAGATAGATAGAGAGATAAAGAGATAGAGAGATAGAGAGATAGAGAGAGAGAGAGAGATAGAGAGAGATAGATAGATAGATAGATAGATAGATAGATAGATAGATAGATAGATAGATAGATAGATCTAGATAGATAAAGGTAGATATAGATGAGTATATGTATATAATTAGATAGATATAGACAGATGGA